CGAGTGCTAATGCGAAAACCCCAGCTGCTTCTGGGGCTGCTGCACTGGTACCTGAATGGGTGGTTGTGCATTTTCCATACAAATCAGTTGTTGCCTGAAAAATATTTGATCATGTTTAGTCTCTGTTGCAAAAATTAGCGGAAGCTCAAATTAAACACAATTTTAGGGGCAACGTTTACTACAGATTATTTAGTTAGTGAACAACTCTTCTAGTTCCAATCACTACCTTACCGTAAATTTGTATTGTTTTCGGTGATTTTACATGAAAAATCAAATTAAGCATGGATCAATAATATTTAGCTGATGTAGAACTTTCGTTATGTTGGGAGTGAAACGGAGCCCTATAACAACGGAAACACGGTACATGTTCTCCTTTCTCTCTAGTAATTTATTTTGCACCCACTTCCAGAATATTTGCTTCGCTTGGATTCCAAAGTCGAGGATCATGCAAATATTTGAAATAAGTCGCATTTTGAAACGTAACGTGGCGTTCGGCGTGTCTCAACCTTCGAAAACCGTTTCAAAAGAAACGGGAGAAACGGAGAAATTATACAATAAAGATGTGCGGTATTTTTCGTTTTAACTGTATAATAAAATCAGCTGAAGGAGAAATTTATCTTTTTCTTGCTGTTTATACTTCCAAGGTACTAATTTTGTAGCTCAATTCGCAACAAGAAGATAATTTGAAGCAAATTTAAAAAAATCAATAAAACAAAAAACAAATAAAGTAACTATCGAAATTATTCATCACGTTTATTGTATAGGCGAGAATTTCGAACGTTGCCTTGAAGAATCCTAATCTTAAGAATCGAAGATCACGTCGAAATAATATTTGTTTGAAAATATCTTGTTTACCTTCATTCTCGCATAATATTCGCTTTTCTAAATTACATTTCTGGAATAAATTATCCGTTGATATTTCTGTAAAAAAATACCCGTCGGTCTGCACTTATCGAAACTAACATTATTAGAGAATTTTCCTATACGAATACTAAACTACGAAGGCCCAAACCTATTTAATAAACACATCAAGTTCGTAAAAAATCGTAAAAATTCCGTCACCATGTTATAATTAAAATCTAATTCGCTTTGAAGCTTCAGTCCATACGCTTATTTAACTCCTTCATAAAAAAGTTTTGGCGTTAAGAAAAAAGACGTTGAAATGAGACATTATTGAAATTGTTTATTATTTTTCATTAATGCAATCAAATCAAATGCAGAATGTTCAGTTAATAGAAATTGTTAAAAAAAGCAAATACTATTGAACTATGGGAACATTCTATTAGGGCAACAAACATTTATGAACAAACCTCTTAACAACCTCTTAAATATTCGTTCATGATATCTTTTTTTATTTCGTTTGTAATGACTCATCGAATGTAAGACTGCCAGAAAAAAGCAAAAAAATGCAAACATATATGCACGAAACTGGAATTTGAACACGAAATGCTTCTCTGTGTAATATACAATTTTACGAAATCGTTGCATGTTTTAAAACCATATGAAAGTAACAAAGAAAAATCCGAGTGTGTTGCATGAAAAGATCTTTGATAATTTTTTTCAAATAAAAATTTCTCATTAAATCTCGAGTAAAATCGAAAATGAATTGCTCAATCATTCGCTTAAAATTACTGGAATGGAAAATATTAAAATATGTTTCAAGGAGCTTTAGCAAGGTAAACGTTTCGTTTATGCATTATGGATCCATTAGAGAAATAGGTTGAGGCCAATATCTCACTTAAAATGCTAATGCATTTTCATAAAGCGTTTAAAATTCATGCATTTTACACGTTAATCGAGAACACCATACTTTAGGTCTATTGTCCTTTATATCTGTTTCACAGGTTTATA